ATTATAATAGACTCAAATATCTAACTTTCAAGCAAAATCAAGCGTTGAGAAATTTTATATTAAACCTTTATATACATATATATTTTTTACATTCTTTTATATTGAAATTTGTAATTTGTTTGGAAATGATCAGGCTGAAAATGTTTCTGAAAATTGATATGTTTGATGAACATCTGTTGTGTTGGGACCTTGAGAGGCACAGAGACAACATTCAAGCTCCAGATAGGAAGGGCCCAGCCAGACGGTGGATTCAAACCCAAGACTTTTAATACCTTTTTATACCATCTAAGAATATTTTTTATATTCAAACCTAAAGTGAGCACTGAATTAGTATTTGAAGTCTTGAAGACTTCTAGGCTGAACAAAGTAAGAGCAATCCAGACAGGAAAACCATCCAGCTGCCTTCCTAAGTGTCTGTCTGTTCTCTTATCTCTGTATATTTCTCACTTAAATTACTTTTTTCTCTTTCTCCCTGCCTCTGGCCATAAATCAACAGTTACATAAACTGCCTTCAAGTTAGTTTCCACCAGTGCTAGATGAGACTCCCTTAAGTACAAAACAGGATGTTATAGAAGCCTGGCTCGTACAGTTCAGCTGAGCATGTGTGTAGCAGAATTAAACTTCTCCAGGTTTTTCGGCGGATGTGGGCATAAACACATCGCTCAAACGTCTCTGTGCGAGTGTGGGCTCGGTTGCTAGAACACGAGACGGCAGAAGGGTCGACTTTTTCCATGATATAACCGTATTAAATCAGCTGAGACCGAACATATAAATACACGCGAGCTTGGAGAGGCTACATTTACGCACACCTGGGTCCAGCAATAACGTTCTCATTCATGTGCGCTGAACAGAAACAGAGCCAGTGATGTGCACACGACCAACTGCCAAACTCTACTCCTGTCACACACCTGCAACCACACACACACACGCTTGCATACACACTGTGTACGCTTGCAAACTCGCACTTTTACACAGGTGATGCAGCTGATGTTTGCACAGAGCTCTGTAGCTGCAGAGCAGATGAAGCACATCAGCAGCCTAAGAAATAAACAGCTTCAACTAATGATTATGCAACTCTCTAATATTGCACTGTTTGCTAAGGTATTGTTAAATTTAAAGCCAAAAAAGTGCATTTAGTATGCCTGGGTTCCTTAAAGTAGATCAGTATTTATCATTGGATGACATATTTTATGTATGATGGTAGAAAAAGAGCATTCCTGCCTCAGTTTTGGGGGCATTTGGCCCTTTTTGATTTAGAAACAGACTGAAAGCTGTTTTACAGTTTAGCTATCAGATGCAGTTAATCACTGTTTTCCTGCAGCCACTCACACGGAACAATGAATAAAACTGCGATCTGGGCGTGAATTAGATTTTTCAGCTGTATACTGCTACCTTTCTCTGTATTTTAATATGTGTCTCCTCTCTGCAAACATGCTTTCATACTGCCAACATTCTCAGCTTGTTGAACAGATATGAAGACAGATATAATTTCTTTCTGTCCCTTGACTCATGCGGCCCATTTTGCAACGAGGTGAGACCCTCAGGCTTACAGGACATTTGGGACTGCTTAACATGGAAGCTGCACTTAAAGTAGAGCAACGTATGCCTTCAACTGCAGCTTGCACAAATTATTACGTGGCAAAATTCATTCAATTTCAATGTTTTTGAGGTCAGTCTAGGAATAATCTCCAGCTGAAAGGGGGCATAAAAAGGAGTGACTTACGTCTGTACTGTTTATTTGCCTAAACCGTCTTATCTAATAACATTCACAGATAACAAAATCTTCTTTTTAAATGGACCATCTATGGTATTCTACAAAGACCACACTTTGAATGCAGTACACACACACACACGCAATTAGGCGAGTGCTAATTTGTGCCCTAATATTCTGTCCAGAGGCGGACATTTCATTAGATGACACTTTAGATACAGTGACAGAAACCTGTTACATGCTTTTGGCCGATCTCCACTTCATTCATTTGGGAGGAGGGAGGCACTGCTGAGGAAAGGATGAGAGGAAGAGATAAAGTCTCGCAGTTTAAGAGAAGCAGCGAGAGAGACAGAGGGAGGGAGGAGGACTGAAGAGTGGATCCAAACCACTTGTTATCCGCATTTCCCCTTCTTTCCGCCCTATTTGGGCTAAATACTAGCTGGCATGCTTTTGTGAGAGGCATGCAGGGAGGTGGGGGGTGTCTGGTGGTAAAAAGGGGAGCTTGTCAAGCTTGTCAAGAAAAGTCAGCAAAAAAAAGAAGAAAGAAATAAACTCCTCTAGACAAAAAAAGCTCTTCTATCTTTCCATTATTGATTTGTTTTAAAAAAAACAACAGCAACTATTTTTGTAGTGCATTTCTCTGAGGCTTTCCCATCCCCTCTGAGGGGGGCAGGTGGCAGCTGCTCTGCCCCCCACCACTTCCCCGCCTCTGACTCTCTGGCAGACAGAGTACGAAGCTCCAGCCCACACAACTGCCTGTAACATTAGCAAAGCTTTGAAGAAAAAGCCATGTGGAGCTCCACACACGGCCCCATGTAATGTTCACACTCTCCTTCCTTCTCTCTTATATCTGTGCACTCACTTCCTGCAAGGGCTTCGAAAACAGATCCGCCTGTGTTTGCTGCAAAAGAAAGCAACTAGTCTTCGAGAGCCGACCCTGAGCGGGGATCTCCCTCCAAACCCTCCGACATCACCCGGCATTTCTGCACTTAATACATTCCGAAGTTTAGATTGAAAGGTGACAAAAAAAGCACTCTTGACACACACACACAGTGTCATTTGCCACTTCCCTTTTGCACGGGTACGTGTTTTAAGTACACGAAACGAAAGCCATCCTTGATCCAGCTTTAACTTCACTGCACACTGTTCCAGAAGCAACTGGCTGATCAAGCACACAATACACACACACAAAAGAGAAAACACAGGAAGCTTACCTCACTTTGTAGCAATGTACAAGCTGTTCAGCAGTCCATCACCCAGCACTTTCTCTCTAGACTAACTTTGTGGCACTAGCAGCAGCAGCAGCAGGAGGAGGAGGAGGAGGAGGAGGAGGAGAAGCAACAGGCGAGAATAAAAGAAAGCACCAGAGAAAACAAATATGAAGCAAGAACGAGAGAGAGGGGAGGGGGGGAGAACAGTCGAGAGGGGGTAGGAGGAGAAGAGTGCCTGAGAGAGTGAAGCAGAGCTGACGGTGACTGACTCCCAGACTCTCCTAGTCTGAGAAGGTTTATTCAAAGCCCACAAACTAATTGCTTCTCAGACTGCTTGCCTGCCTCCCAGGCCTGACGTCAGCAGTCACATGACCTTGCTGTGGTGTGGAGGGGAAATGAAAAGGGGAGGGCAGACAGCGAGTCACAGAGGGAGAAATAAAGAGACAGAGAAAAAGACACAGGGAGAGAGAGAGTGCGAGAAGGAGAAGCCGGTGTTGCCTTGGTAACAGGAATTCTGCACCACAATGATTTCAATAGGTCATCTGACACACAAATGCACGCACACACACACACACACACACACACAGATTCTTAGTGTTAAAACACAGACTCACGATGAGCAGTTGGAGCGAAGGAAGAGGTAAGAGAGAAAAGGAGAAGTGGAATAAAAAAGTTTCTGTTTCTCCAAATCTTATTCAAAAATGTGTTACAAAAAAAAATCACCACTTCACCCGCCCTTACAGTGCCTGTCTGTAAAGCTCAATTTCGAAACCTTCCATATATGTTGCGTTGGCTTCCAGAGGTAACCGTTCACTTCTGTTGTTTATGCTCAAACGTCTAACAATACTCAATTTCTGCAGGACCCCAGGGATCTATTCAAGACGTGACTAGTAAAATAAGTGTGTGGAAGTGAATAAATTATTAATATACCCACATAAACTTACCACGTTTCATTGATTTAGGGAAGAAGAGACAACAACAGCTGAGTTTCAGTTGTGTCTCTGTTTTTATGTCATTATACTGTAAAATTAAGCTGTAAAAGGAGCAGTATGATTACACCTCCGTGTTTTATTGGAGACACTACATGCACTAGAGTTAATGAGGCACATCAGCCTGATTCTTTCAGGTAGCAGCGTTTGGTTGAAATGTGCCACAAATGTCCTTTTACAGGAAATAACACACTGATACTCAAGTGGTTTTGAGGTGGAGACTTGCAGGAGAAAACTGATGCCACTCACACACGAGGGGTTAATTTTGAATGTTTTAGTCAGCAGCTTGTTGACCAGACATAAGAGCAGGGAAATGGCTCTGTGCAGACATAACAAAATCCCTGTGTAAACATGTGTACAGTTCAGTAATTTATGAGTGTGAATATGGAAGACAAAGGCTCTGGGACGGTTCTGGTCCCAGCAACAACAAAACAAAACACAGACTTCATACAGGAGATGGATGTTACTTTGGGTCTGCAAAACTTAGACAAGGTGGAAGTGCCTAAAACCTGCTTTCTTTCTAATGGCCAACAGGAGGTGTATCTTCTGACTCCTGAAACTAGTCCCCCCATCCAAGGCACACGGCTGTTCAAAACGTCTGCTTATAGGAGGCAGCCAATCAGAAGTTTGGATTGTTTTGAATTTACTATAGTTGACGAATAGAAATATACAGCTAGAATCAAGAAATGACCTAAATAGGACCTTTCTGACATAGTGAAGCAGGCTAACAGATTTCACAGATAACAAATCATTGCACGACATAAAGAAAGACAAGAACATCCCATTGATATACTTTGGCATGAACTTAAAGGCTTTCTTTCTAAAAACTGCATTTTGTATTTACTTAAGTTATCTTTGACTAATATTAAAATAGTTTGAGGTGTCAAATGTACAAAACAAAGTTATCATGAAGGGGGCAAACTTTCTGCAGCACTGTAGGTGCAAGTATGTTTTTCTTTTTCTACTAGCAATTGTAGCATTAGCATTACATACTCATTTGTTGAAGGGTCATTACACTACCATTTCCAAAATGTTGTTTGCATTGTATTAAGTGTAACTGGGCCAGAGCCCAGTACGAGACAGCGGGACAGAAAAATGGCCAAAGAACCTCCTTGTCCCCCCTCCCTCCCTACACTCATCCAGTCTGTGAGTATGAACAGCTTTGGCATGATAACATCATTTGAATAGCATCTGCTGGCCAGTTGAAAGGAGTGCATTGGGGCCCAGAACAGGGTGGGGATGCGTGGAGGGTGGGGGTGAGGTCAGCCAAGAGAAAAGCACCCTCGGGTGGAACTACTGTGAATAAGGTTATGTATGAATGAGTCAGAGGCACAGAGAAAGAGACGAAAGAAATACAAACAGGGTGAAGAGAAGCTACAGAGTGCAAGGAAAAGTCATTCGGAGAGAGAATTTAGAGTCTGTCAGGCTGGTAAAGTGACTGAAAGACATATTAGACTAAAGTCGGAGTCCTGGGATTAGTGGGCTGGCTGGTGATGCCTTAAGGTGAATGCAAAGTCTTTCAGAATATGATTTGGCAAAGGAGGTGGGAGAAAATGGTGTTTAATATAACCGCTGACGGATGATGATGACTGCTGTGAAGTATTTTTTAACGCAGGAGATAAATAAACATGCTGCAGTAAAATTGTATCATCCAGGATGAAAAATGCATACAGAACCATATAATGGAGTGGCCACTTGAAGCTCGCGCTAAAACGAATCAATCCTCAAAAATCTGGATTTCAAATCCAATCAGCATAACACATGGCTTGGGTCTCTATAGCGAAAATAGCCCATCAAAATAACTGGGTTATGTGCGTGTGTTATAGGCATCATATGAGTCTGTCCTGTTGTCCGTATTCACAATGTTGGTACCTTTTTAAAGCATGTTTAAAATAATTACCTAAAAATAATATTGTGCAATTAACAAGAACCTGCGTCCAAGCTCAGGACAATTTGCAGAGATGTGGTGACATAAAACCACATGGATGAGTCTGGGTTTGGCGGTTGCCAGGAGAATGGTACTTGTTTGACCGCGCTGTGACAAGTTTGGTGGCGGGGGATTATGGTGTGGTGTTGTATAGTTGTAGTCAGGCCCCTTAGTTCCAGTGAAAGAAACTCTTAATGCTTCTTAATGCATACCAAGACATTTTGAACACATTCATGCGCTCAACTTTGTGCGAATAGTGTGGAGATGGCCCCTTCCTGTTCTAACATGACTACGCACTATTGCACAAAGCAAGCCCTATAAAGACATGGATGAGCAAGTCTGGAAGAACTTGACAGGCCCACACAGAGACCTGACCTCAACCTGGTAGAACACCTTTGGGATGAATAAGGGTAGAGACTCCGAGCCAGGCCTCTTGTCCAACATTGGTGCCTGACCTCATAAATGTGCTTCTGGAAGAATGGTCATATATTCCCATAAGCACACTTGTGGAAAGTCTTTCACGTGTTGTTGAAGCTGTTACAGCTGCAAAGGGTGGGCCGAAATCACGTTAAACCCTATGGATTAAGAATGCCATCGCACTTGAGTTCATATGTGTGTGAGGCTATATAGTGTATCTATTGTGCTGTATATAGCGCTGTGGAAACACTTTATGTACATATTTCCAGAAAACAGATGCATTACTGTAGACCACCTGGTGTGGCTGCTTTCGAAGCAGAACTTCTACATGCATGCAACCAGTTTCTGGGTATTTGTGTTTGTGCGTGTGGTGTGTATGTTGTGTGTGGATAACAGGCACTAGAGAGAATTCCTTCCTCCTGAAGACTCAGGAAGCAACAGCCTGGGCGGAAGAGAAAACAACAACTCTTTCCAAGGCAAACCCTTCAGAAGTTCTTCCTCTGGAAACGGAAACAGTCCCTGAAGACTGTGTCAGTGTTTCAAACACATTTCTAAACAACTCCATTACTGTTTAACTTGAGTTTCTAAAATCAGCTGAAGGCATTAAAATAAACTAAGGTTAGAAACAATGAAAGTTCCTGAATTGGCAAATCAATCAAAACAAGCAGTGCATGAATGCATTCTTATGAGTGGGTTGAAGTTTCGGTGATATTAATATCAGCAGCTGGGCTGGAGGTATTACATAACAACAGCTTATAAAATGGATAATCAGCAGGTCAGCTGAGGAAGGCCCATGACTGTCAACAAGGTTTTGAGTTGTACTGGGGCATTAGTGTTTGATTACGCACTATATCACAGGTCTATTTCTGTGCTACCAATAACAGAGAGAACATTGATTATTGCAGAAAAATCTGTCGGTGCACTTGATGTCTGGAACATTTGATGTGGTGTGAAATCATTTTAAAACAAAGTTTATAACAAAGGACAACAAAACAGTAAATTTTATTCTGACTGTGGTACTATTTCTGCACTAACTGTTGTAACTTTATTGCAGTTTATTGTTCGATAACAGCATTTTGGTTATTTTGTAAGTGATTTAGGTGTTAGTCACATGTTTAGTGAGAGCTGTTAATTATAGATTTAATTTTCTGCGAAAGTGGAGCATTTAACAGGTATTTTCATTAGAAAACTGCATTTCCCAGAATCCTTTGTGGTAGACGAAAGTTACTCTGGGTTTTTTTTAGCTAACAAAGAAAGTTTCGGGAAGCCATTATATGTTGCTCTGATGTCGAGAAGTTTATTTGTTGTACATTCCCCTTTTTGAAGCCTTATATAAAGACTATCGTTTCTACAACTGATGTCCGATCCATTTTTTTGGCTAAGTGGATTCGCCACAACACTAACATTTACAGTGAGAAATTGCAATTAAAGCTTGGGATGCACGCAATGTGAGTAGTTTGACAAAAATAACCAGCGATCCAATAGCATAAAGACAGAGACCTATGGCTGCAAAATGGCCCATTTTATACTTAAAATATACCAGTAATATTAATAAAAGCATTAGAGAGCATTTAGCAAGAAGGTTCCGGGACACTCTGCAATCTAGCTGGCAGGTAAGAACATTATCTACTAACCATATATAACAATGGGCTGGCATTGTGCACGGGGTGTAAACCCTGTCAAACAGAACTTGGAGAAAAAAAATGAAAAGATTTTGCTTCATAAGAATTACTTTCACATATCCTGATATGAACTTTGCCCTTGTTTAAAATTAACATTTAATACTATGATCTCACATTTGTACGACATGAAATAAGGAAAATATTATTGTGAAATTCTAGCATAGGGGGTAAATAAATGCTGATTTCTCATGAACTGTTGCTCCACCCTTATCAAGAACTGCTTGGAACAGCATGAAGCATTTCTGTCACTGCATGTCAGATACTGTTAATTGGGATTACAGATAATGTGGCATTGCACAATTGCAAGTCTTG